CACGCAGGGTGGAGGGTTTAGGGTGTTGTGCGGGGCGTGCGGGGCGAGGTTATAGGATTAAACCTTTAGTATAACCTAAACCCTAAACCCTAAATCCTCACCAGAGTCACAGAAAGCAAAACGGTCCCTAACCGAGGCCAGGGGACGCCGAAGGACCCGGCCTGGAAGGTCACCTTGACGAGAGAAACGTGGAGGGTTTGGGGCTGCTTAGGGTTGGCTTGAGGGTTTAGGGCTTGGGGTTTAGGGTGTAGGGTTTAGGGTTTAGGGGCTGCGGGTTCCTTTAAGGGTTCCTGGCAAGGGTGCTACCAGCGGGATCTATTTCCCTAAACCCTAAACCCCAAGGCTCGAGGAAAAACGTAGACGGGAGGCTTCAACTAAGCAACCGCAAGATCTGCATCCTTCTCCCCCTAGACCTCACAGCGAACCTCCGGAAAGGTAGAACAAAGGGTTTAGGATGATTGGTCCTAGGATTGTTTCTACCATAATCCTCCCTACACCCGGAGGCCTACACCCGAGATAAGTCCCAATTGCATCGTTGGCGATCAAGATCACCACACGGCCCTCGGGGCACTCTGGCGTCTTCCTGAGCTCGAGCGCGGTTCAGAGCGGAGAGAGAGTTAAGTGTTAGAGGGTAAAGGCGTTGGGAGGATATGAGGAGTCAGGAAGCTCAGGATTGATTCAGGGTTGGGATTTGGGTTTTTCGAGTCAGGATCTAGAGAATCCACAACCTGCACTTGTATTCCCGCTCTGCAAGATGCCGAAGCAGCAGCCCCAGTCACTTCCCTCCGCAAAGACGACGAGAACCCTAAACCCTAAAGCCCAAAAGCTAGTCTCTAAACCTCAAAACCAAAATCCCAAACCCGGAACCCTAACCCTGAGCCCTAACCCCAAGCCCTGACCGAAACCCCTAGCCCGAGACCCCCTAAATGCTTCCCAGTCGCATGGTCAGCTTCCAAGCCAACATACCCAGGTCCTGGGCTTTGAAGTAAGCCCTTGGGAAAAAAAGTATAAACGTGCAGTTCAGAGTGGTTCTCCAAACCCTAAACCCTACACCCTAAACCCTAAACAACCCTAAACCCTACAGCCTAAACAAACCTAAACCCTAGACCCTACACCCTAAACCCCTAAACATCTCTCAAAAACTGCATAGAACCTATGGGTCTTCCGCAACCCAGGGTCGTTCGCGCCCTCAGGTCGCTCCGTCTCGACCAGCTCCTCCGGGGCTTGTGGGGTTTAGGGTTTACAGTTGTTGTAAGCTTTAGGGCTCAGGCTTCAGGGGTTTAGGGTTTAGGGTTTAGCGTTTAGGCGTTCTGGCTCGAGCCTGAGGTGCTCGGTAGTCTTCGATAGGTGTGTACCGTGCCATTGGGTTTGCCGAACCCCAGCGACGTATGCCACCGAGCAAAGACAACAAAGCTGGCAAAGCTGCTGGGAAAACGAAGCGCGAGGAACATGGACCTACCACGAAGCTCGAATTCGGTGCTGTTTCGGATCGTGCCACGCAGGATCTGCTGGTCTCTGGAGGTTGCCTACCTCTTGGCATCAGCGGTGGTCTTTGTGGGGTGCGCTGCAGGCCGCTATGCCGTGGAGTCACCAGTACAAGCATGCTTTCCGCAGTCTGCGAACAGCCTCAGATGTGGCAGCATCACAGCATGGGCCACCAGTTCCTCTGCTGGATTTGTTAACCGACACTGTGACCTTCTGCCAAGTCTGCCAATGCGTTCAGATTGGCGGAGCCATGTGGATGCCAGGCTCGCCCAGTACACAAGGGTTGAGTGTGCTGAGGGCGCTGTTACCCACTGCCATCTTCAAGTTCCTGTCCTTTCCCGTCGGGCACCATCTTTGCTGCGGTGCACCCAAGGTGTTCCGAAGTGCAATGGCGCCCTCTTTTGGAACAAATTTGCGGCACCCGGTGCCACGGTGTACAGACTCTGCCCATTCGGGCTGGTTTCGTGTACAGGACACAGTCGCTGAGCGCTGGTTGAGGTAGCCCTCCCGCGATCGCCTTTTCCTGTCCCTCGTCTGTGGCTAGCCTAGTCGAGGATTGTCTTCCATTGGCTTCGCGGACACAGCGTGTGTGATTTTGCCTTGCAGACCTTTCCAGCGTTCAGGGGTTTAGGGTTTAGGGTTTGGGGTTTTTTAGGGTTCAGGCTTCCGCGGTTTAGGGTTTAGGGTTTAGGGTTCAGGGCTAGTGGGGTAGGAGGGTTTAGGGTGTAGGTGTAGGGAAGCAGGGTTGTTTGGGGTTTTGGGGTTTAGGTTGTAGGGCAGTAGGGTAGTACGGTGTAAGTAGGGTCTACCTGTAGCCGGAAGACCTACTGCATCAGGGTTCCATGCTACGGTTTTTGTTCTCTCTCTCTCTCTCTCTCTCTTTACCGGGACAGGAGAGGCCTCTCTCTCTCTCTCTCCCTCCCCCTCTCTATCTATGTATGTATGTATGTATGTATGTATGTATGTATGTATGTATGTATGTATATATATATATATACATAGATATATATAGATATATATAGATATAGATAGATAGATAGATAGATCGATCGATAGATAGATAGATAGCTCCTTAAAACGGTGGGTCTTTGGGGCACAGGTAGGGCTTAGTGTGTGGGGTAGTTGGGCGTAGGGCGTAGAGCGTAGGGTTCAGGATTTAAGGCTTCGGGTTTTTGGGGTGGTAGGATTTAAGGCCTGGGGTTTAAGGCTTCGGGCCGTCGGACAGCCCTTGATGTATAGTTTTACGGGGACAGTAGGGGGATAGCATCGCAAACTGTAGTAGCCGGGGCATAGCGGTTGTTGTAGGCTTTGTGGGTTTAGGGTTTAGGGCTTAGGGCTTTTAGGCTTTGTGCAGTCGCGGCCTTGAAACTTATTTTTCGTTGTTGCTGCATGCTGCTTCCCAGTTGCCACCCTGCACCTACGCTTCAAGCTGCCATAATATAAGGAGCATAGCATATGCTACGGGTCACCACAAATTGTGGTAACTCAAGTTGTGCTAGTCAACAAGAACACTGAAACACGTTCACGTTCAAACACAATAGAAACCTGAGAAACCTCATGCAACCCTTATGTAACGTTCGTTAATACTGTGTAGAAAACTAGAAACCCTCACAACCCCCCCCCCCCTCCCCTCCCGACTATCAAAAAACAAAGTAATTTCAACACTCGGCCCAACACCCTAAACCCTAACAGAAGAAAGACCATGGGCTCCATCTTGGACCAGTCCATGACCAGCTCCACAGCGGTCAAGAGCTCCTGAGCAAGGCTAAAGAGAAGAGGCCGCTGCACTTTAGAGATCCTTGAAACGCACAAGATAGGGGTTTAATGATTCGACTAGGGTTTTGGAGTTTTCTTCTCGCAAAACTGTAAATAATGAGGAACCCTTAGCAGACCAAAAAACCCTGAAAAACCCTCAAAACCCCACACTAAAACCCCTTAAAGCCCTAAACCCTAAACCCTAAACCCCTAAACCTCTAAACCGAAACCCTAAACCCTAAACTCCTAAACCCGAAGAAGCTCTCTAAGAGCACTCCTTGGGCATGCTCTCCGGCACCTTCGACGGCACCGAGACGACCCCGGCCCGGCCCCGCGGGGACGGGCTGCGCCTCCGGGAGCCTCGCGCGGCCTCGCGCTTTTTGGGGGCTTTTGGGGGTTTCGGGGTTTAATAAGGTTCCCTTAAGGGGTTTAGGGTTTAGGGTTTAGGGCTTCGGGGTTTAAGGGCTCCCTTAAGGGGTTTAGGGTTTATTTGGGGTTAGGGTTCCCTTTAGGGGGTCTAGGGTTTAGGGTGTTGGTGGTTTAAGGGTTCCCTCAAGGGGTCTAGGGAGTCTAGGGTTTAGAGTTTAGGGTTTATTTCGGGTTTAGGGTTTAAGGGTTCCCTTAGGGGGTCTAGGGTTTAGGGTTTAGGGCTTAGGGTTTAGGGTTTAGGGCTTCGGGTTGAAGGGTTCCCTTAAGGAGTCTAGGGTTTACTTTGGGGCTGCTGGGGTTTAGAGAGGATTGGTGTAGGGTTTGCTTTCAAAGGTTCCTTTTTAAGAGCCCTTCAAGGTGAAGCACTCGTAGGGCTCAAAGTGATTTTAGGGGCTTTGAAAAGCTTTGGGGGTTGAGGGGCTTCAAAAACCCTAACCCTATAAACCCTATAAACCCTATAAACCCTATAATTCCTGTAAGCCCTATAAACCCTATAAGCCCTATAAACCCTATAAGCCCTAGAAGCCCTATAAACCCTATAAACCCTACAAACCCTACAAACCCTACAAACCCTACAAACCCTACAAACCCTAGAAACCCTAGAAACCCTACAAACCCTATAAACCCTATAAACCCTATAAACCCCATAAACCCACAAACCCAAAACCCTAGAAACCCTATAAACCCTATAAGCCTTATAAGCCCCATAAACCCTAGAAACCCTATAAACCCAAAAAAACAAAAAAACACAAAAACCTCAAAACCCAATAAACCCTAAACCCTAAAGGTTTCAGGGCTTGGAGTCTCGGGGCGCCTCCCCGCGAGGCGAAGTGTTGGTGTTCGTGGTGCCCGTAAAGGCGATCCACCTTTAGGCTGAGAGGCTCGCGGGGGTTTTAGGGTTTAGGGTTTAGGGCTTAGGGTTTAAGGTTTAGGCCTTAGGGTTTAGGGTTTAGGATGGGTTCACCTTGACCTACCAAACCTACTTGATTTTAGGGTTTTTCATGATGGCAGGTTTTTGGGCTGCAAGCAACGAGCCTACCGAACAAGCAGGGTTAAAAAGCAGCTTAGGGCAGGGTTTAGGGTCCAGGCCAGGGTTCGGGCTTAGGGCTTAGGGTTCGGGATGTACGGGAGCCGGGTTTCGGGTACGCCGGCTTGCGGCCTTCGGCCATAGACCCTAAACTCTAGACCCTAAACCCTAAACCCCTAAACCCTAAACCCTAAACACTAGATCCTAAACCCCTAAACCCCAAACCGCTAAACCCTAAACCCTAGACCCTAAATCCTAGACCCTAAATGCTTTAGTGTTGTCCGAAGTAATCTGTCTGGGCCGCTTCATGGTCAGCGCGAGCTGGAGCATGCCGGGAAGGTCGTACCTTGGTGCATGATTAGAAAAGGATCTCTTTAGGAAGCCTCACTTTCAAATTTTTTTTAGCGCGGTCCGGGCTTAAGGTATGTAGGGTGAGGGTGGTTAGGAAGCTGGAACCACCCAAAAAGTGACAAAAGGATCTCTAACCTTGCCCCAGGCAGCGCGTAGGTGGAGCCCGCGCGGCGGGCGGCCACGCGCTTCGCCTGGTAGCGGCTCAGGGCCGCTGGGTCCGTGACGTGCGGGTGGTCCAGGGACGTCAAAGGGGCCGCGCCCTCTTTGGCGGCCTCCCAGCGGAGAGGGAAGCCGGTGACCTGATGTTCAGGGCGTCATTAGGGTTTTTGTAGGCTTTATTGGGTTTAGGGTTTAGGGTTTAGGGCTTTATAGGCTTTGGGGATTAGAGGCTTGAGGGTTCAGGATTTTGGGCTCGTCAGGAGATCGTCCAGGTCCCCGAAACCATCAATCTCTATAGCCGAGAATCAGCGCCATCTAGACACTATGCTGCAATGCCTGCATGTCGTCTCAGCTCCCCCAAAGCCCCCCCCCCCCGAGATCAATGCGAGCAGCAGGGTCCGGGAACTCCCTCAGCATCTTCGGCTTCAGGAAGCCTCCGTTCAGGGAGGACCTGGCAGCGCGCTTTTGGGGAGAAGTATAGAGCAATTGCCCCCTCTGACAGACCATGTAGCAGCCACCCCAGGTGGCTTCGGGTGTCAGGCCTAGAGGCCTAGAGCTTATAGGGTGTGTTAAGCTCGTATGGTTGGCTGCATCTTTCCATTATGGGAGGTTTTACATAAGAGCATCAAAAAATCCCTTGTAGAATCCGTATCAGTCCCTCTCAAAGTCCAACAGCTCTGTGGCCTTGTGGAAAACCCTCCACCTGTGACACGCGCAAAAACCCTGTGAAATCCTTCCCTAAACCCGACAAACTAAAGGAACCCTTGAAGGAACCCTAATTCTATTAATTAAGAAGAGCCCTAAACCCTAAACCCTAATTCTCATACTTCAGGCCTCTATCTTACAAACTAAATGAACCCTTGAAGGAACCCTACTTCTATTAATTAAGAAGAGCCCTAAACCCTAAACCCTTAACCCTAAACCCTAAACCCTTAACCCTTAAGCCCTAAACCCTAAACTTCTAACACTTAAGTCCTCTATCTTACAAACTAAATGAACCCTTGAAGGAACCCTAATCCTAACACTTAAGGCCTCTATCTTACAAACTAAACGAACCCTTGAAGGACCCCTAATCCTAACACTTAAGGCCTCGATCTTCACAAGCTGAGGGCCGCGCAAAGAAAGGCGCAGCGTCTCTTTGGCTCCTCCGACGCGGCGGTGCACCTTCACCTCACGGTTTAGGGTTTAAGGTTTA